TTCCCAACCCCGATCCCAGAATTCCCAATTTTGGGAAATTCCCGATCCTGATCGCAAATTTCCCAACCCAGATCCCAAAATTCCCGACCCCAATCCCAAAATTCCGAATCCCAATCCCAAAATTCTGAATCCCGATCCCAGAATTCCCGATCCCGATCCCAAATTTCCCAATCCTGATCCCAAGATTCCTGATCCTGATCCCAGAATTCCCGACCCCAATCTCAAAATTCCCAATTTTGGGAAATTCCCAATCCCGATCTTAAAATTCCCAACCCTGATCCCAAAATTCCCAACCCCGATCCCAAAATTCCCGACCCTGATCCCAAAATTCCCGATCCTGATCCCAGAATTCCCGTTTTATTCCAGAGCAAAAGCTCCCTGAACCCGGACGCCAAGGAATTCATTCCCGGAGTGAAATATTGACCGGGAAGAGCCGGCAGAGACTGATCCCCATCCAGGGAAAATCCGGGAAAATCCGGGAAAAGCCGGGAAAAGCCGGGAAAATCCGGGAGAGGCTCCGGCTCCCGGGATCGGATCCGGATCCGAACGTTTTGGGGATTTTTTCCCGGTTTTTTGGGGTTTTTATTGGAGTTTTTGGGGTTTTTTGGGGGTTTTTTGGGAATGGGAGGGGGAATTGTGGGAAAACGATGGAAAAATGTGGGGAAAGGATGGGAAAAATGGGGGAAATCGTGGAAAATGATGGGGAAATGATGGGGGAAATAGTGGGGAAAAATCAGGGATAAAAGGTGGAAAAATCATGGAAAAATTATGGGGGAAAATGCGAAAATCCTGGGAAAAATGTGGAAAAATATTGGGGAAAATCATGGAAAAATCTTGGGGAGAATTGGGAAAATCCTGGGGAAAAAAAAGGGGAAAATCCTGGGAAAAATGTGGAAAAATATTGGGGAAAATCATGGAAAAATCTTGGGGAGAATTGGGAAAATCCTGGGGAAAAAAAAGGGAAAATATTTGAAAAATAATGGAAAAATAATGGGGAAAAAATGGGAAAATCGTGGGAAAAATTATGGAAAAAAACATGGAAAAAATAATGGAGAAAATCCTGGGAAAAAAATGGGAAAAATCTTGGGGGAAATCGTGGAAAAATTTCAAGAAAAATCATGGAAAATGATGGGGAAAAATCGTAGATAAAACATGGAAAAATCATGGGAAAATTTTGGGAAAATCCTGAAGAAAAAATGGGGAAAAAAATTGGAAAAATCTTGTGGAGAATTGGGGGAAAATCTTGGGAAAAATCCTGGAAAAATCTCAAGAAAAACCCTGGGAAAAATCCTGGGAAAAGAATGGAAAAATGGGAAGATCTTGGGAAAATCATGGAAAACTTTGGGAAAAATCATAGAAAGATCTTGGGAAAAATCATGGAATAATAATGGGGAAAATCCTGGGAAAAGAATGGGAAAATCTTGGAAAAATCATGGAAAAATCCTGAGAAAAAAATGGGAAAATCTTGGGAAAATCATGGAAAAAGAATGGGGGAAAAAATGGGAAAATCGTGGGAAAAATTATGGAAAAAAAGACGGAAAAAATAATGGAGAAAATCCTGGGAAAAAATGGAAAAATGGGAAAAACCTTGGAGGAAATCATGGAAAAATTTCAAGAAAAATCATGGAAAAAGAATGGAGAAAATCAGGGAAAAATGGAGAAAATCAGGGAAAAATCTTGGGAAAATCGTGGAAAAAACATGGAAAAAATCCCGGGAAAAATCATGGAAAAAGAAAGGGAAATATCCTGGGAAAATCTTGGAAAAATCATGGAAAAATCATGGAAAAATCACGAGAAAAATCATGGGAAAAATCCTGGGGAAAAAATGGGGAAAATGATGGAAAAATCTTGGGAAAATGGGAAAATCTTGGGGGAAATTGTGGAAAAATCATGGGAAAATCTGAGGAAAAATCATGGAAAAATAATGGGAAAAATCCTGGGAAAAGCATGGAAAAATAATGGGGAAATAATGGGAAAAAATGGGAAAATCTTGGGAAAATGATGGAAAAAATATCGGGAAAAATCATGGAAAAGTCATGGAAAAAATAATGGGAAAATATTGAGATAAATCATGGAAAAATCATGGGAAAACAATGGAAAAATCTTGGGAAAAATCTCAGGAAAAATCATGGAAAAAAATCCTGGGGAAAGAATGGGAAAATTTTGGGAAAATAATGGAAAAACCTTGGGAAAAATTTCGGGAAAAATCATGGGAAAATCTTGGGAAAATCTTGGAAAAATAATGGAAAAATCATGGAAAAAAAAAATGGGAAAAATGATGGGAAAATCGTGGAGAAATCCTGGAAAAATCCTGGAAAAATTGTGGAAAAAATCCCTCCTGGGATCGGAACTTTTGGCGCTTCCAGAGGATTTCCCGGGATTTTCCGGGAGCTGCGTTGGTTTCTCCTGGATTTTCTGGGAATGGGAATCCTGATCCAGGGAAAATCGGGAATTTTTTGGGATCGGGAATCTCTTTCCAGGAAAATCCAGGAGCCTCCCAGGTCAGGAATCCCAATCCATGGGAACGGGGCTGGAAACGCTGATCCCAAAAAACCCCGGAGCTTCCCGGGCTCCCGAAGCCTCTTCCAGGGTTTGGAATCCTGGGAATTCTGGGGGCAAATCCTGGGAAATCCACAGCTGAATCCTGGGAAATCCAGGACCAAATCCTGGGAATTCTGGGGCCAAATCCTGGGAAATCCCCGGGTGAATCCTGGGAAATCCGCGGGTGAATCCTGGGAAATCCAGGACCAAATCCCGGGAAATCCGGGGCCAAATCCTGGGAAATCCGCAGTCGAATCCCAGAAAATCCGTGGGTGAATCCTGGGAAATCCACGGTCAAATCCTAGAAAATTTGCGGTCGAATCCCTGGAAATCCGGGGCCAAATCCCGGGAAATCCCCGGGTGAATCCCAGGAAATCTGCAGGGGAATCCCGGGAAATTCATGGTCAAATCCTGGGAAATCTGGGGCCAAATCCCAGGAAATCCACGGTCAAATCCCAGAAAATTTGTGGACAAATCCTGGGAAATCTGGGGCCAAATCCCGGGAAATCCCTGGGTGAATCCCGGGAAATCCCCGGGTGAATCCCGGGAAATTCATGGTCAAATCCCGGGAAATCCATGGTCGAATCCCGGGAAATCCGTTGGAATTCCCATTCCCGGAGCAGCTCCCGGATCACCGGGATTCCATCGTGGAATTCCCGGCTCTTCCCGCTTTTCCCGGCCCCTCCGGAAGCGGCGGCTCCGTGGAATTCCCAACCCTCCAAATCCCATTTTTCCCATTTCCCTCTCCCGCTTTTCCCGTTTTTCCTTGGATTTTTTCCCCCAATTCCCTCCTTTCCCCTCCCCCCCCGCTGGAAATTCCGGATTATCCCAAATAAACTTTTTTTGGAATGCAGCAGGGCTGGAATTTTCCTTGGAAAACCTCGGGATCTTCGCGAATTCCCGGGAATTTCCCTTTCCCGGCGCTTCGGATTCCCGGGAAAAACAACCCCAAAGGGATTTTTCCCATTTTTTCCCCGTTTTTAAGTGGGAATTCCCCCAAAGCCGCTCCGGCAGCTCCGAGGTCCCGGATGTTGCGTTCCCCATCCCAAACTTTGGGAATTCCTCCTTCCTCCTCTTCCTGCTTTTCCGTGGATGTGGAGCGTTCCCGATCCTGATCCCAATCCAAATTCCCTTCCCGATCCTGATCCAAATCCTGATCCAAATCCTGATCCCAACTCCCTTCCCAATCCCGATCCTGATCTCAATCCTGATCCCAATCCAAATTCCCTTCCCAATCCTGATCCAAATCCTGATCCAAATCCTGATCCCAATTCCCTTCCCAATCCCAATCCTGATCCAAATCCTGATCCAAATCCTGATCCAAATTCCCTTCCCGATCCCGATCCAAATCCTGATCCAAATCCTGATCCTGATCCCAATTCCAATCCCAATCCTGATCCTGATCCCATTCCCAGTCCTGATCTCAATCCTGATCCTGATCCTGATCCCAATCCAAATTCCCTTCCCAATCCTGATCCAAATCCTGATCCCAATCCCGATCCTGATCCCATTCCCGATCCCGATCCTGTTCCCATTCCCAATCTCAATCTCAATCCTGATCTTGATCCCATTCCCAATCCCGATCCCAATCCCGATCCTGATCCCGATCCTGATCCAAATCCCAATTCCCAGTCCTGGTCTCAATCCTGATCTTGATCCCAATTCCCATTCCCAATCCTGATCCTGTTCCCAATCCCAATTCCCTTCCCCATCCCGATCCTGATCCCATTCCCGATCCTGTTCCCATTCCCATTCCCAATCTCAATCCTGATCTTGATCCCATTCCCAGTCCTGATCCCGATCCCAATCCTGATTCGCATTCCCGATCCCATTTTCCATTCCCAATCCGGATCCTGATCCCAATCCCGATCCCTTCCCAATCCTGATCCCAATCCCGATCCCTTCCCATTCCCAATCCTGATCCTGATCCCAATCCCGATCCCTTCCCAATCCCATTCCTGATCCTGCTCCTGATCCTGATCCCAATCCCGATCCTGTTCCCAATTCCCATTCCCGATTCCATTCCCAATCTCAATCCCATTCCCGTGTTCCAGCCCGGCCTCCTCAGGATCAGGATCGGGACCAGGATTGGGTTCAGGATTGGGATCGGGATCAGGATCGGGATTGGAATCAGGATCAGGATCGGGATTGGGATCAGGATTGGGAAGGGAATTGGGATTGGGATCAGGATTGGAATCAGGATCAGGATCGGGATTGGGATCAGGATTGGGAAGGGAATTGGGATTGGGATCAGGATTGGGATCGGGATCAGGATCGGGATTGGGATCAGGATTGGGAAGGGAATTGGGATTGGGATCAGGATCGGGATCAGGATCAGGATCAGGATTGGGATTGGGATCGGGATTGGGATCGGGATCAGGATCAGGATTGGGATCATTCTGGGTCCCTTTTCCTCCCTTTCCCGCGGCCTCGCCCCCACTTTGGGATTTCCCTTCCCAACGAGGCTGAGCTGGTGCCGCTTCCAACGGCATCCAATGGATCCCATGGATCCCATCCCATGGATCCATCCCATGGATCCATCCCATGGATACATCCCACAGATCCCATCCCATGGATCCCATCCCATGGATCCATCCCATCCCATCCAATGGATCCCATGGATCTCATGGGTCCCGTCCCATTCCCTGCCTCAGTTTCCCATCCCTGCTCCCATCCCCACATCCCCACCCTCATCCTGCCCCATTCCCACATTCCCGTGATCCCATTCCCCATTAACCCTTTCATTGCCGAACCACGAGCCCCCCTCTCATTCCAGGCCTCCTCCGGCACTTCTCAGGGCCCATTCCCGGTTTTTCAGGAGCCATTCCCGATTTTTCAATGCCATTCCTGGGTTTTTTGGCTCTCAGAACCGGTGACTGTAGAACACTTCAACATTCCCAGTTTTCCAAGCCCATTCCCAATTTTCCAGGCCCCATTCCTGGTTTTTGGGGCCAGTTCCCAATTTTTTTGTGCCCATTCCTGATTTTTCAGGTCCATTCCCAGTTTTCCAAGCCCCATTCCCAGTTTTTTGGGGCTCTCAGAACCGCTGTGTGTAGAACACCTCAACATTCCCGGTTTTCCAGTTCCCATTCCCAATTTTCTGAGCCCATTCCCGGTTTTTCTGGCTCTCAGAACCGCTGTGTGTAGAACACTTCGACATTCCCAGTTTTCCAGTTCCCATTCCCAGTTTCTGGTCTCCATTCCCGGTTTTCCGAGCCCATTCCCGTTTTTTTTCCCTCTCAGAACCGCTGTGTGTAGAACACCTCGACATTCCCAGTTTTTCACTTCCTATTCCCAGTTTTTCCGAGCCCATTCCCAGGTTTTGGTGCCCATTCCCGATTTTCCGAGCCCATTCCCGGTTTTTCTGGCTCTCAGAACCAGTGAGTGTAGAACACCTCAACATTCCCAATTTTCCAAGCCCCATTCCTGATTTTCCGAGTCCATTCCCGATTTTTGGTGCCCATTCCCGGTTTTCCGGGGCTCTCAAAACCGCTGTGTGTAGAACACCTCGACATTCCCAGTTTTCCAGTTCCCATTCCCAGTTTTTGGTCTCCATTCCCGGTTTTTCAGGGCTCATTCCCGATTTTCCGAGCCCATTCCCGGTTTTTGGTGCCCATTCCCAGTTTTTTTCCCTCTCAGAACCGCTGTGTGTAGAACACCTCGACATTCCCGATTTTCCAGTGCCCACTCCTGGTTTTTGGGGTCTATTCCCATTTTTTGGGGTCCATTTCCTGGTTTTTGGGGTCTATTCCCATTTTTTGGGGTCCATTCCCAATTTTCCAGTTCCCATTCCCAGTTTTTGGTGCCCATTCCCGGTTTTTCTGTCTCTCAGAACCGATGGGTGTAGAACACCTCGACATTCCCAGTTTTTCAGTTCCCATTCCCAGTTTTTGGTCTCCATTCCCGGTTTTCCGAGCCCATTCCCAGTTTTCTGAGCCCATTCCCAGTTTTTGGTCTCCATTCCCAGTTTTTCAGGGCCCATTCCCGATTTTCCAAGCCCCATTCCCGGTTTCTCTGTCTCTCAGAAACTGTGACTGTAGAACACCTCGACATTCCCAATTTTCCAGTGCCCATTCCTGGTTTTTGGGGTCTATTCCCAGTTTTTCAGTGCCCATTCCCGGTTTTCCGAGCCCATTCCCGGTTTTTCTGGCTCTCAGAACCGCTGTGTGTAGAACACTTCGACATTCCCGATTTTCCAGTTCCCATTCCCAGTTTTTGGTCCCCATTCCCAGTTTTTGGTCTCCATTCCCGATTTTCCAAGCCCCATTCCCGATTTTCCGAGCCCATTCCCGGTTTTTTTGGCTCTCAGAACCAGTGTGTGTAGAACACCTCGACATTCCCGATTTTCCAGTGCCCATTCCTGGTTTTTGGGGTCTATTCCCATTTTTTGGGGTCCATTCCCAATTTTCCAGTTCCCATTCCCAGTTTTTGGTGCCCATTCCCGATTTTCCGAGCCCATTCCCGGTTTTTCCGGCTCTCAGAAGCGATGAGTGTAGAACACCTCGACGTTCCCCTCCCGATCCAGCGGCAGCTCCATTCCCAAATTCCCGGCTCCCAGCCGAGCCCCTCCCAGAGCCGAGGAGCGCCGGAGCCTCAGGAGGCTGAAGCGGGAAAAAATTCCCGGGATTTGGGCTCGGGATCGCTCCAGCACCGGGATAAATCCTGCGGGAACAGCGAAGGAAAATCGGGAATTGGAAATGAGATTTAACGGGGAAAAAAAAACCCAAAACACCTGGAAATGGGAAAAAAAAAATCTTGGATTTTTTTCCCCCCAAAAAAAATCCTGGGAAAATTTTAGATCTTGAGGAGAAATCGTAAATCGCGAGGAAAAAATTCCCAGAAAAAATCTCAAATCCCAAAAAAATTCCTGAATTCTTCCCAAGAATCCTTCAAAAGATTCCAAATCTTGAGGAGAAATCTTAAATCT